ATTTTGCAGAGATTATATTTTATCCCATATTATCTGATCTCATTTCATTTCATTCCATGCCAATTGATTAATGCTTCAAATTAATCAAATCCATTTCACTCCATATTATCATTTTTCATAAAAAAAAATTAGGCTTTATGGCATGATACTTTTGCCTCTCTAGTTGGAAAAATAGAACTACTAAAGAAACACTCGATCGAAACGTTAAAACCCACTAATTTGTAACACGCACTCGCACAAATGTCATTCGTGGTACTTACTCATTTCGGTAAAATTACTCGGTAACGAGATCACAACGTTAATATGAACTCGCACTCACAAAATAACACCGGGTACGTTTGCCGCTAGGGGCGCTGTTCCAATTGCATACAAATTTGAGCAAACTGGCTCGCTGTCGAGAGCGTTACAAAACTCGCACTAAGCACACTGATCCTAGTGAAGCTTCGAGTAATTGAGTCAACTCCATACCTGACATCATTTGTATTTCACTAATAGTCTTTAAAACAGTCCTTGCAGATTCAAAATCAGATGTTATTATAGCAGCAATATTTTGAAGACTAGTTACACATATGTGTTACATCTGATGTTACATAATGTATTAGTTGATTCACTCCGAAGCTCCTTAATGCACTATTAATTTTTCACACTCGAGAATTTTTTATGTTGATTAATGAAAAAAATGCACGTCTAGTTTCGTTTTTGACACCTACAGCATAGTTTAATTCTTTGCCGCCATTTTTTTATTATTTTTTTTTAAGCAAACTTTAGTTTTCTCGGAACGTCAACAGATGGCGTGGATAGAGAAAATATGAAGGAAAAAGAAGTCCCAAAAACATGAAGCCACCGAAATAAATAGGATATGTTTATGTGATAAATTCTGAAGGAGAAAAGACATCTAGATTTGTTTTTACAACATAGCAGTTTGTTTTTGTTTTTACTTTACTCTTAATGCACATACATATTTTTATGAAAAATATTGTGACTAGAGCTCTATTATTGTAAAAAAATTATCAGAATATCAAATACTCATAATTTGAAAGATAACGATAAAAGACTTTTGTATTGTTTTCTAATCGATGTTGTTATGTACGTTTCTCAAAACAGAAATAGACAAGTTCATTGTAACAAGATATGTAGCTAACAATTTAATTAGTAACTATTGCCCGTATTAGATACAGTATTTTCTTCGGTTTTCGCGAATCTTGGACATAATTTAAGGTACTTTTAATCATATTGTAGTGCGCACCTTTAATATTATATAGTGAAGGAAATGCTATAAGTCAAGTAGGGAAATAAAAAAGTTGGTTTGTTTCTTTAGGCGATGCCTTCCTCGGTTTTTTTAAACTTAATCAAGGACTTATTGTACTGTTCCCGAAGTAGGTAGTAACGGTAAATAAACTGGTTCTGCGCGCTGCTTTCCCAGAAAGTGCCGCTGTACCAACGACGAAGGACTTGTGATAGCGGCAGCACCGAGTACACTCCGGTGTTGTAGAAGTTCTTCTACTCCTTTTTTATATTTTTATTCTTTCTTCATTCATTCATTACCCTAATAGGCAGACGAGCGTACGGCTCACGCGATGGTGAGTGTTTATCGTTACTCATGTACGTCAGCAATGCCAGGAGCGAGCCAAGCCGCTGCCTACCGTTGAGTACCCTGTGGGCGGGTAGGCTGTATGAGGCTGCCTGTCCACCGAAGCGGAGCGAGGCAGTGGAGCGGAGAAATATTAACCAATAAGATTGCACAAAACCTCCGCTCCTCTTTAGTGGACAGGGAGTTGCGAACTATGTATATAGTTTAAAAATTCATACAAAACCGGTAAGCGGAGCGAGGCAGCTGAGTGGGGAAGCGAGTGGGGGCGCGGGCGCGTGGAACTGACTCGTCGCGTAGTAACTAAGCTCCACTCCACATTACTTTCTTGCTCCACTCCACAGCCTCGCTCCGCTCCGGTTGTCAGACACAGTACCCAACTCACACCAAAAGATTTATTTGTCGCAGAATGGGCCGATATCTTAATATTTTTAGTATCTTAATATTTTTAATGTAAGTGTGGTGGGTAATCGTGCAAAGAGATTGCGCAGCACGAAACGATGACGGTTCCGAGACGTCTTCACTTTTCTAAAGTCAGGTAACGAATGTGTTTCGATTCCACTCGAGCGATGACACCTCGACTCTGCCGAAGCGCACCACCCAAAGTGAAGCTACGTTTGACGAGTAGTTGCGGCTCGCTTCCACCATGCACGCTTTTGCTTCGTATGTCTATTTATTTATTTATTTATAACTTCTTATACTATAAAGTATAAAGGCGGACTAAATGCCATAGGCATTCTCTAACAGTCTACCTTAGGGGAGTGCAGAGATGAAGCTTGGTAGGTGTAGTGTGAAGGTGATATTACTTAAACATAATAATATGTGTATATATAACATACATAATATTTATAGATACAAATACTCGTACTTAAATAAATACATATACATAAATATATAGATATACATAAATATATACATATACATATCATAAATATATACATATAAAAACATATATAAACAAATATTATCAATTAGATGACTCTGCTAACTCTTTGAGAAACAGTTCTCGAACCTTCGTCTTAAACGCTTCACGTGTATGTCGTGTATATTAATTAATTAATTAATTACTTAATTAATTTAAACGTACTAGAAGATTCTAGAATTGCAATTCTAGATAATAAGTCAATAATAATTAGATTTCTTTGAATTTATCAAACAACTGGATCATTCATAATACTTGCAATTGCGTTACGTGCACATCCGTTACGGTTAAACGATTGTCCGAATAGATATTATAATCTTTTGATAACAAATCATAGATCGATATCGATCATAGATAGCTCTGGATTTTTGGGAAATTAAGTGTACTCTTTATCTCTTCGATACATTTGAGTTGGAGGTTGCGTAGCCTTGTAGACGAAAATAATTATATCACACACACGCGGAACCCTCAGGGGGCCAGTTTTACTCAGACTTCTCCGGTTTTCTCTAATTCCAAGGCTGTGTAAATATTGACTGCAGAAAACTAATGACCAATGCTTGGCAAGAGTTGAGTTTGGTAGAAAAATTCTCGTCGAATCTATTTTACATCAATTAAAAGACAGTATGTTTTTTTTATTACCCTTGTAGTAGACGAGCATACAGCCCACCTGATGGTGAGTGGCTACCGGGCCCATGGACGTCAGCAATGCCAGGGGCAGAGCCGAGCCGCTGCCTACCGTTAAGTAGTACCGAGTTGTCGCGCATAGCATTTCATGATATTCGCCTTAACGTTGTCGCCGCTGACTACTCCCCGAATTTTGATCACGCTGGAGCCAGTCACCGTCGTCACTCTAGACACGTCCTTACGGATCCATTAGATCCAATAGCCTTTGCATTAGACGCCTTCAGCTCTAACACTAGGAGCAGGCTTATGGACTCCGGTAACCGTACTCGTCGAACAATATGATAGAAGACATGCTGCGCCGATTTTAGGTAAGGACAAAAAAAACGAAGTCAGTCACCAGAGGTACCTAAACGATCAGAGGCTTATCCGGCATTTAGCCGGTAATTGGCGGCGGCCACGATAAGAGGTTTTTCGTGTCGCTCCGTTTTAGCTCGAAGTAGCGTTCTGACGCAACCTTAAGAAACTTACGTATCGGTTCTAAATATATATTGTCGTGAAGGTCGACATTCCTCACGTACCATGGTACTCCTGCAGAGACGGGATTGGATGACCTGAACAGAGTTTATGTGTATCCAGGCCGCGTGAGCGGTGAACACTACACTAGCATAGGTCACGACGGAACGTATGCAGTAGAGCTTGTAGAGGCTTGTCTCCTTGTTACGAAGAGACAATTTATCTGAAGCGATCTGAAGTTTATTATGCATGAACCCCATCTTCCTACTCGAGTATTAGATAGCCGTAGCATCAGCGCAAAGGGCTAATTAGGATGCCGGCGATCGGGGTATACCGTTAATATCATATTATGTTATAATATATAGGCTGGTCTTAGCTGGAAAGTAACATTCAGATTATGACATTTATGGGGCTTATTAACATTATACTAAGTAAGCTGTGGTTGTTAGCCCATCGAAAGCATAAACGTAATCGCATGAGTAATCACTGGTGGTATGTCGTGCTGTGAAGCACACAGGCGCGCACAGGTAGGTACCACCACCTCGCCTATTTCTGCGGCGGAGTTGCCGTTATACTATAAATCTGAGATTTGGTACTCTTAACACCAAGTGAGATTCTTAACACCAAGTGGGCCGTGAGCTCGTTCACCAGTTTAGGCAACAAAAAAATCTAGAACAAGAAAAGTTTCCGTCCAAATTTCTAATTTATTTACGCATACCTGACATTTTATGAATCACAGTGAAATGCTTTTTGTTTTATTTTTGTTTATGACAATAACATTTTTCTACGAATTCCACAATGATAAAAATCGAAAATTATTATCTGTTGATTTCAAAAACAATTAAGTCAAATACAACAAAGAGCTGAATTCTTTACGAAAAACAAAAAAAAATTAGATTATCGTGTGACGTGATACCGAGAACTCCTTTGAAACGATATTTAGGGACATTCTGATAAGATAATAATGAAATTATACTGAATTTTAAAAACGCCTGAATGTAATATGCGAGTAGCAATCAGTGAGACGGATAAGTATTTTTTCGCTTATTTGAAAAATTATACGTATTTACTTATAAGGCGCCAGCTTATAATTTAATTAATGTTTGGTTAAGGAATGTGTGCGATTAATTAATGTATTTATTCTTCATTTCATTTTTCTTTCTTGTTTAAAGTTCTACATGAACTATGTAGCAGAAGAAACATTGAATTTCCATTATGATTGTATAAAACGTGTGCAATATAGCTATCATATTGATTATTAAATAAACAAAAACGCTAAATCGTTTTCATAATTAAAAGTTGATGTATCTTTATTATTGTAAAAATATATTTTACATTTTAGGTTATAAACTATAATTTAGTATGTGTCCATTTAATATAATGTAAAACGGAACGTATACACATAGTTGCCAAGAATGGAGGTCACGTCACATCGTGCGAGGGGCGGAGCGCCACCAGTACGTCAGTACTCAGTGCAGTGTTACCCCGCCTCCGTCAGTGAGGTCCGTGCTTTCGGTGACTCAGTGATAAACAAACCTCCTCAGTGCCTACATGTCCGATATGCAGGTTTGAATTCCACCCTGGAACGCAGAGCCGGCTCCATGTATCGTAGTCCGCGTCCAACTCCACACAAGTGAGCCGCGTCCTTCGCTTCTCCTGCCAACTGTGCTCCCTGCTCTCCACATATGACCTCGGTGGCCTCTTGTTGCAGATGTCAGCCGCCGCCGCACGCCCTACGGCGGTTTTATCACATTTTAGAAAATGACTGAAGGCTCACTCTTGCATCATGATACACCGGTGAGTTTTTTTTAGGGCGCACAGAGTAGTCTGCCGTTGCCGCGCGTTAGAACTGTCAAATGGCGCGCGATTGCGTGAACTCTTACGGAACGTGTTAAAGTCGAAAACAGTGTGAATTTGCCGGACAAATTGGGAAGTATTTTCGTACGTAATCGTATATTGACCATGAATTCACGCGAGTTCATTAAAACCGGCTCGGCATTCAGGAACCAGTCTCCAATTCAATTCAACGTTTGGTAATTAATGAATTAATCGTGTTTTTGTTTTTGTATATATTTTCTATATAAACACATGCCGCCATACAAATATTTATCAACCAATCGTAGCCAGTAGTATCTGCCTACCTAGTGTAAAGCATATCCGAGCCATCGTCAGATATATCAGATAACATATTTACGCAGATTAACTTGATATATCGTTTCTACTACTTGAAATAGAGCGAATAAATTATTTAATAATCACTTGTGTTTTGTGTACGTGGACGAATACAGATTAGCTGAACAGAGAATGTAAATTGGGCTTGAATTAATTTATTACGTTGTAGTATTTAAACAGGTGCGCGGTAATTATTGACACATTTATTAAAACGATGTGGAGGAGGACGCATAGGATTTAAATAATATACACATTTATCGGTAATTTTTTTCCAATTTACAAGAAATGAAAATCCCGGATATAAATGTGTGCTAGCGTATTTATTGATATTATTTATCTTAAATAAACATAACAATGTTGTTGTGATATAAGATTCGGAACTTATAGAAGTAACAAGCTCTGTCTATTATTGCTTAGTTTTAGTAAAGCCCTTTTCACTGTAAAAGAAACACTGCCTATTAATTTTTACTGGTGGTAGGACCTCTTGTGAGCCCGCGCGGGTAGGTACCACCACCCTGCCTATTTCTGCCGTGAAGCAGTAATGCGTTTGGGTTTGAAGGGTGGGGCAGCCGTTGTAACTATACTGAGATCTTAGAACTTATATCTCAAGATGGATGGCGCATTTACGTTGTAGATGTCTATGGGCTCCAGTAACCACTTAACACCAGGTGGGCCGTGAGCTCGTCCACCCATATAAGCAATAAATAAATAAATAAATAAATATATATATATATATATATAATTCTTCTTAATCGTTTTCTCATTGCTGAGGATTGTGATTCGGTAACACTTTTTCAACAGAATGCCTCCATTAGACGCGGCCACCCGGCTGGTGAAATGCGGTGCTGATAGGTATATATCCAGTTGGTTGGACGTCTGACCAGTCCAGACGCGTTGGGATCCGACCTCTTGGCCTTTTCCCTTCGACTTTCCCTATCAACATCAGCTGTTACACAATATATCATGAATACTACGTTTTTTCTTGTGCGATATCATAATTTGATAATGATTAAACATTTAATATAATGATGAAACTTTAAAAGGTTTTCGTACTACCATCAAATTAGGTCAAGTTTCGTCAATACCAAGATATACAATACGGACACGTGGTTTTTTTTTTTAGTACGGACTATTGATTGCTTTAACATTATCACATTTTCCGACATTCCATCCATTTTTTTTTTTNTTTTTCTTGTGCGATATCATAATTTGATAATGATTAAACATTTAATATAATGATGAAACTTTAAAAGGTTTTCGTACTACCATCAAATTAGGTCAAGTTTCGTCAATACCAAGATATACAATACGGACACGTGGTTTTTTTTTTTAGTACGGACTATTGATTGCTTTAACATTATCACATTTTCCGACATTCCATCCATTTTTTTTTTGTTATCTATACTCCTAAAAAATATAATATGTACCTACTTATTTAAACATTTTTACTTACTCATGACATGCTCAATAATGTACCTTCTTATTTGACATTTTATGATATCTATTCTATACTAATACTAATACTAATATATATAAATCTACAGTGGTTTTTACGGATGTTCCGTTATAACTACTGAACCATGCATCCGATTGATTTGAAACTTTGTATCCATGTAGAAAATACATGTACTTAATGGATAGGCTAACATTTATATGAGTGTTGGACTCCCTAATAATAATGACAATAAATAATAATGTTAATTTTAAATGCTCAGCGAATTGGGCGAGTACGGCTAGTAAATTCATAATATTTAATATGTATACCTATATAAATTACATAATATCTATAAGGAAAACGCAGCGTGGGTAGGTCTTTTACAAGGTAGGCCGATGACCTGCTAAAGGTCTCGGAAATCCGATAGACGAAGGCTGTTGCAAAGGCTCTGTGGGCTGGTGATGATGATAATTATAATGATGATATACAACTTAATAGCTTTATACGAAATCGTAAGCTCGATATAGTTCGAATATTATTAACACGCTTTTTTACGCTCTTTTTTTGGTTTCCAACCTATAACCATTGATCGTTTTTTTTTATTGCTTAGAGGGTGGATGAGCTCACACAGTCCACCTGGCGTTAAGTGGTTACTGGAGCCCATATACATCTATAATCTAAATGCGCCACCCACCCTTCAAACCGAAACGCATTACTGCTTCATGGCAGAAATAGGCAGGGTGGTGGTACCTACCCGCGCGGACTCACAAGAGGTCCTACCACCAGTACCTAATTACCCAAATTATAATTTTGCGGGTTTGATTTTTATTACACGATGTTATTCCTTCACCGTGGAAGTCAATCGCGAACATAATTTGTTAAGTACGTATTTCATTAGAAAAATTGGTACCCGCCTGAGATTCGAACACCAGTGCAACGCTCAATACGAATGTACCGGACGTCTTATCCTTTAGGCCACGACGACTTAAACGCAGATCCTAAAGTGGCAAAGTCGACGATACTGTGACAGAAAACTTCACTGGAATAGCAAAACTACTGCAGCAATTATTGGTGGTAGGACCTCTTGTGAGTCCGCACGGGTAGGTACCACTACCCTGCCTATTTCTACCGTGAAGCAGTAATGCGTTTCGGTTTGAAGAGTGGGGTAGCCGTTGTAACTATACTGAGAACTTAGAACCTATATCTCAAAGTGGGTAGCGCATTTACTTTGTAGATGTCTATGGGCTCCAGTAACTACTTAACACCAGGTGGGCTGTGAGCTCGTCCACCCATCAAAGCAATAAAAAAATACCTAAACTTACTCCATAACTTATATTTTATAGTATGATATGAAATACTTTTACCTCAGAAGATACCGCGAGGCACGCCTAGTTAAACGTTAGTATCAAATGTATGCTGATTCAACAACACAACGGAAGGAAAGGTGTGGTTATTGTATTTCGCAACAAAGAAGTCACGATTGAATAACATTAATATTTTACTAGCTTATTATTACTGACCTAGGCTTGAATTTAATCCTTCATATTAAAATTTGCTCTTTATTTAAGTGTCAAATCAAGGCTCCCGTTTCTCTCATTCGGCCGACCAGACGAAGAATATTTTTTTCCTACCTAAGCTGATAGCCTTGAGAGGCTATTTCAGCGTAACCTTAGCTAGTAGGTGAGCTCACGGGGCTCAAACCGGAGTGATGCTAACACTGACCCTAGCAAGAGCCGTGCTTCGCAGAATCTACCACCGGATCGTAAAGGCGACCCACTGAGAAGATCCGGCGAGAAACTCAGTGAGCTGTGTCTGTGGATGAAAAATGTAAATGAAATAAAGTTTCGTTAACATTCTTGAATTTAAAAAAAGCCGATAGTATCTTTTAATTATTTATATTATTCTTGGTTCCCACCAAAAATATCTCGGATCTTCATTAGCCGGTTTCGACTATATACTTGTATACTATAGGTATATGTGTATACCTATACTATAATTGATTTATTTAAGTATTTATAATCGCTACTAAATCTTCCAGCTTTAATATTAAACACGATAACAAACTTTTACTAAAGAAAATTGTAATAATTAAATTATATTAACATAATAATCATAAATTATATTGAAAGAAATCGTGTATAAGTTAAGAAGTAAGTAAGAAGTAAATAAGAAAGTAAGAAGTGTAAAGAAATAGTTATCGGTAAATTAGTTAATTATTGCTTATCTAAATGACTATTTTAATGTCTTCCACGAAGAACGAAAATTGTTATTTTTACAATAGATATTCATGATGGTAACTTATCAACAATTCAAACAGAACCATCCTTTTGTATTGTTCTTCGAAAACAATAAATTGTTATTTTGAGTTTTTTCTTCTCTCTGAAATTATTTTTGAAGCTGGGTCTGTCGACGGGCTTAAGGCATAATATAGGTCTAATATAGGTCGAACATATGTACACGTTCTACTCTGCGCTCAGTTCTTACCGGATACGCCTTCCACAAAATCTGAAACTACGAAGAATGGTGAATCATTTTACATCATGTTATTGTTGTTTTTATAAAACAAGTCCATCTCTACCAATTTTCGAACTCATTGAATTTAAAATTAAACTACCTGTGTCTACAGAATTATTTTAATCGTGAAACCTATTGGCTCCAACCACGTAACGTCAACGGCCGTGAACTTGTTTACAGTAGGCCGTCTAAAAAGCATTAGTATACTTTTATCGCCAAAATGGCTCCTTCTTTATCTTTGAACATATTACTCATATATATTTAAGTCATTACCAGTAATACTATAGTGATTTGTGACCGGTTGTCTTATTCTTATCGCGTTCGAGAAATTACTACCCTCATTCGTCACTGATCGTAAGTAAAATAAGTTTTTATCACTATCCTTCGTTTAAGCCAGTGGTCGGTAACACGCGGCACGCGAGCCTCATGCGACCCTTTGACTCCTGGGCTATGACCCTTCCGCGAAATGTTTTAGTTCGGGCACGGAATATTACTTATTATCTTGCCTTATACGACAAGTAAATGTTTTTGAAACACAAGACTATATAAGATATATACAATGTGTATAAAAAAAATGTCGCTTTGAATAAATTTCAATTGTGTGTTATCTATATTTCGCTCTTTTGGTTGACAAGGTTGCCGCCACTTGTCTAAGTAAACGTGTGCATCATAAAAA